ATTATGCAAATGTGGGGGCTCCTTTACTCTCTTTGCGTGGCCCCCTGCAAGAACGGTCTAAATGAAAACAAACATAGGCGCCCTAGCTGTTCCAGCGCCGCTTATAGACAGTGACACGACAACACAGATACGATCACAACTGTCGAAGGTGATTCGCCTACGAACGTTGCCAGAAAAGAACCACATGCATCTAATATCTGGTTGGCTGACTGACCACGACCAGGAAGGAATAATCTGTTCCTACCATCTGGTTGGTCAACTGATGCATTACTTGAAAGGAATCATGCAGTTAATCATATCAAAGTCAAATACGATAAAAGAACTTATAACTGTGCAGTAGGCATAGCTGCCAACGAGGTGAGTATCTACCTCCATCAATTGAAATGAATTTATTGGTTATGGAACCGCAGTGAGTGTCGCATAACAAACACTTCTGCTTGGCTAGGCGATGACAGGGTTAAACTGTCTCAGATCTATGAAATTATCGCTGGTAATAAGCAGATGACTTCTCCAAAACTGGGTTTCGCTCCGTGTGACTCTTTGTCTGCTTCTGGACACGAAGGATGCCACGAGCGTGTCATGATTTAGTGTTATTTGAGCACCTATAGAGCTGGTTCACATCACATCATTTTGTTGAATACTATGATATCATACTCTCCACAGCGATTTTTTGGCAACCGATCAGCGCGCCACCGAAATATGAGATTCCATATCTTCTCAGCTTACACCATAGCATTTAGATTTAGTTAACATGCATTGACTCGCAAAAATAGCTCCCCTTATGCAGCAGATCAAAAACATGTGATACTACTGTAATCTAATTCTTCAACACATATACTGTCCTTCCTCTACTCTAAAAGCCTAGCACTGGCAACCACGGTTCACCACACGTGTCATGTTGAACAAAAGTTCTGCCCTTCGACAAGTCGTCTTGACCAACGTCATAGTCTTGTCATGACAGGTGCACAGTGCAATCCCATTTTAATCGACCACCGACACCAGTCACTGATTGACTGTTATGTCTATATTCATGTTTCATAGCTCATTTTTTCAGGAGGTCTTGTGATTCAGGTAAAACTAATACTCTTTTCTATGAAAGTAAGTTTTGATTCTGACTGCTGCTGCTTAAGGAATACCAACTGGTGAAACACCGTTCGTTATGAATGCCAAACGACTCAACTAACAACATGATGCAAGATACATCTGGCACTGCAGATGCATGCTCAAGTACTATGGAGCCATGAATTGCTTCGATACCCCTCCCCCCTCCCCCCATTAAAACCCAGGGGCCGTGCAATGCGGTATTGAATCTGGTTTTGATGAGTCATACGTTGTTTAACTTTGTATTCAAGATCATTTGCACACGAACTTGCAATAATGGATAAGTTAGATACCAGATAAATGGCCGTGATTCCGCCCAACAGCCATCCAAACCACACATCCACCCAGTGGTTCTTGTAGCCTTGAACTGGAGCGAAGCTGGCGATCATGCACATTCCGAGAAATCCAAAGATTAAAAACGGACGCAGAAGCGGTGCCCCTCGCAGACTGACCATGTAATGTATGTAGCACTAAAACATTTTAGGCTGAACAGCTGCAAAACTGCTTTAATTGAGGTTCTTTGCTGCCTACCGATGTGAATATTGCGGCGAACGATGACAAAGCGGCGTGAAGTGAAGGAAAGGACAATCTATAATATAGCATTATGACTTAGACATAATTATTGAAAACAAAATAGGATTACGAGGCCACTCTAAGTTCATTTTCATCCTGGTTCAAGCACGCTGCGTATGGCGAAGGATAAGGAGCGACCTCATATGGTGCCTGGCAGAAACTGTTAAAGTTCGGTTGACACAGAGTGAGGAAATAAGGCCTTTGGAAGCCGGTCATTAGCTTGATGGTCTGTGTGAAGATAAACACGATCAACATGCCGAACATAAAGACACCTACAAAGAGCGTATTGAAACAGAGCACTAACAGAATGCCAAATATCTAACAGGCATATACCAATATTCACTCTATGTCACCTCATCAGTTACTGAGAACGACAAAGGTGGCATCTCATCAATAGATTAGCTCAAATATCTGTTAGTTACATAGTTATTTGAAAACAGAGACCCGGCCAGTTTTTAGCTTAAAAATGTGCAGTAGTGAGTTCCATAATGTTTTAAGGTAGTGGTAAATGCGCAACAGTTAAAGGTTACATTCTGAATACTGAGAATATAAGGAATTGAAGATTTGCCTCAAAGGTGATTGGAGGTTTTCCCAAATGAACAACTAACATTGACTAATTTATGTCAAATGTGGCATCGCAAGGATCAGAGAGGTAAAAATTAGCTTCTAAATTTTATAGGAACAAAATTCGACTTGAAATGACCCCCTTCGAGATCGATGAAACTTTAATATTCGACTACTCTCTACAACATATCTGAAGAAGTTTCGTAGTTAGGAATTGAGGCATGGAACGTCAGTATAAAGTCTTTGTCCGATAAACCACTAATTTGCTCTGGACATAATAAATTAGTTTTTATGCCATTTTCATTCTGCAGTTTTCATAAAAAGCCAGTATCAGAAACTTAAGGTTCAGACGTATGTCACTACAGAATTCTGCAAAAAGCTAATCTCTAACAAACTCTCGAGAACGATTAAAGTATGGGTTCCAATGCCAAAGGGCAATTAAAAAAGGTACATTCCAATTGTCCTGAAGGCTGTCACAAATTCAGAGCATTCCGAAGGTCAGTTAATTTGGCAGTAGTGACTGTTTCTGAAGGCAGGTGGTAGTCCTCCTCACCTTTCTTAAGGATGTGGCTAGAATTTTCGTAGTAGCTGTATAATTTTAGTCAAAACTAAAATGTAACTTTTGAAAGCCCCTGTCCATATTACTCTAGCAAATAACATAATGTCGTCATTCTTAGTACCAGAAAATGACAACATAATTGGACGTTGTCATCCTATATCCATAAGTAGACGGTATGACAGTAAAATTCGATTGCTTCAAGGCACTATGTGCAGTTTTGTGACCACATGTGTCGCTGTGACATTGCACACATGGGCATAATTTTATACTCATCTATGCATTGCATGTATAGAGCATTTGCTTTCGTGTCAACTGCCTCATGTGACAGAATGAACTAATGCGGTGAGAACGATATAAAATGTAAAATACCAATTATAGGCCATTTTATACAATAGACACCGTCCTCTCTTGTTGTAATATCCATTTTTGAGTTTTTGGAATAACGTCACGGTTGTTAATGTTGATCTTTCTTGATCCATTCGTACACCGTCTGGAATGCGGAAAATTCAGCATCCAATATTCCGTCACCCTTTGATTCACTTTACACCATGTCACTTTACGCGGAAATTTATAGGAACGCATCAGATGTGTAAAGTGAGAATTGCCTGTACGCCCTTTGTTTATATCCTTTGATCATCTAAATTTGCAAGGGTGGTATCAAAGTTTATGGCTACTGTTATGAAGAAATTTTTGCATATCGCGAGAAGGCTATTATTAAGTGATAGAGTCATATGGTTGGTACTTCATTTAAATTGGGTTTATATGACAACTACAATTTTGCTGCTTCTCAGTTTCGGTAGCAAACCAACACATAGACCCTAGGTAAGATTATCTTTCCATTGTAGATGTGTTAAATCGTACTTATAAATCTCAGGAGCCGCCGGACAAACAGGTGGACTTTGCATTCTCGGCAGTTGGCTAAGACAGTTTTCCTTGGTTTCGTGGAAAATAGCCAAAACATAAGCTCGCCAATCAAAATCTGCAATAAAAGACATACAGGCAAAAAATAAAATTTGTCAATAAACTGACTTTACCACAAATGCTGGAACTATAAACGACACGCAGTAAAGCACATCGTACGACACGTACACGATGAAATTATGTGGTCGTAAGTTCGGTTTTAACAGCGACTCGTCTCGACACCAAAACACTCTCTGGTTGTAAGGGAAGACGGCTGTGAACCTAAAATAATGAATATGTAAATATGACATAGCATATCTGATTTTGGAGCCATTCTGGAAACCGTTCATCGTTTCTTGGCATGGGGACACCAAACAACACAGATGTTAGTATTCTACGGTCGTTTCGTTACAAATGGAGTAGTATCATCAGGACACAACTCAGAATTGAGCACAGTGATGATTTGGCTAGGTGTGTAAACTACTAACACATGTGTTCCTTGACTCCTTCCACATGAATCGATGAATAATCAAGCATGGAAATGTATAATTTTTCAATTATTCAACACATGGAAATATGGCATACTTGACGCTGATAATTTACAAAATATTTAGACAAGAGACTCTTTAGCTCATTATAATCAGTAATGTCAGTCTCAGCAATGACCGAATTGGCAATATCTTCTGTTCAGGAATGTGTACATTCAGAGTTGCTTCTGCAGCTTTAGAGAATTTTCCCATCTTTCCGAAACCGAACCTTGTCATATCAAAACACCAATTGTACTGCACAGTTTAGCTGTAACGAGGATAAGCTGTTCATAAATTTACATAGAAGTCATTACAGTATAGCTCTTTGTCCTCCAGAAGATGGGTGGGAAAATGTTTTAAACGAGGCATATGGTTCTTGAACAATGAGACATGTT